CACACCTGAGAGCCTCCGCGTCCTCCCCAGAGCCTCTCCTCTGTCCGGCAGAGCTGGCGGCGGCTGGGTGTGCTGGCCCTGCCCGGAAAGCTAGGTGTTAGTGCGAGGCCAGCGGCTACTGATAATTAATCACCGAGCCGGCGGCTTGTACCATGCGCTCCGTGATACGCGCCCTGCGCGCTCGGCTCTTCTTGCACAATTGCTGGCTCTGCGGCTCCGAGGGGGAGCGAGGGTGAGAGGAAGCAAAGGGAAACAACCCAGAAACTTTCATCTTGGACTGTGCTCAAGCGAGGGAGGGAAGTTCCCTGGTGCCTCCCTCCCAGACACGTCTTGCTTTTCAAAAGCCTGCACCAAACCCTTTACACAAAGCCAGAGTTAGTGTGATATTATCATCCACGCAGCACGAAAGGATCAACGACAAATACTTGGATTTTAAGCAGATGACGGTTAAGAAATTGATATTGTTTCACTCATTTAAAAAAATATAACTGCTTTCTTTAAGAAGAAAAAAAACCTGTTTTGTTTGTAAGAGTTCATGAGAATGAAATATTTTATTGAATTAATTTAGGTTTTTAAAAGTATTGATAATGAAGGAAAGAGAACAATTTGCTAGGCTATGAACTACCATAAGTTTAGAAATCCATCTGCAGAAGATTGTGCACAGAGCCAGGGTTTTGTAGCAGATCGCTAGCGAACAGTTTGATCACAGAATTCTAGAAAGGATAAATGCATTTGAATAAGGTGTATTTTGACATATCCTGTAGAGGGACCCTGATTACTGCTGATACGGTAAGCTGGGTTTAAATGCAATCAACATCAACCCAATAAGCAACTCTGTATGTGCAGTTTCCCATTCTTGCAAGTTAAGTTCATTTCCTCCCAGAGATACTCCTTGTCGTTGCAGTGTGCTTTGAGAGGTGTGCTTCTGAGGCAGATCCCTGCCTGGGTGGCTCTGTTTGTGGTTGGAACACAGTGTGTTTTCACTGACCTTAGGACCAAATAACTTGCGCCACGCTTTAAAAATTAGATGTTACCTTCAGGGTTTTGAGTGAGTGAGTGGAGGTCAGGGTGTGTGTGTGTGTGTGTGTGTGTGTTTTGAAAGGGAAAATTGGTTTAGGTCTCCCTCTAGCTAGAAAAGAGTTAATAAAACCAGATAGAGATAACGATCAATTGATAAATGGCTATTGAACCACATAGATGGTGTTAGATTGCTTCTTTGGCACTAGCCCATTTTCAAGTAGATTTGAATCTAAAGAGACATTAAGTTGTGGAAAACATTTTAGCTTAAAAACACACAAATAAAAGTAAATTATATAAATGATGGAACAGAATTAGGAAAATAATTTGAAATCTCTCAGAGAGACTTGTACAACTAAGCTATTCTTACGTATTTGACCCAGCTCTTTGATTTTGTGGATATTTAAAGGTCTATTTTGTGTGTGCATGTGTGTGTGTATGTGTTATAGTGAGCTTCAGTGACTATATAAACAGAGAAGAAATATAGGGAAGTAATTTATGCATAATGATGTTATATAAAACTATAATATTATACTATTTACTAAACAGTAGTACAATAACGGGAGAAATTTACAATTTAAAAAGTGTTGTGATTTAACTATATTTTGTTTCATTTTTTGGTTTTGATACAGTTAGCGACTCCCCCCTCTTCTTCTCTTCTGGTTCCTATATGTTTACCTCCTGTGCATTTTTGGAAAACATGTAAGAGAGGGTATGAATTTACATGTGTGGTGTTTTTTTCTCCTTCAGGATGGCATTTTAGTTTGTATAAATATTGTGTAAACTTAAATTCAACAGTGTGTAAATCTAAAAAATATATGTGCTGTGCATGTCTACCATGTTTATTTTCCTTAACTATAGTTCATCAGCAATGCTGATTTAGAGTGTGTGTGTGTGTGTATGTATGTGTGTGTGCGTGCAAGAAAGACACTTTTTAAAACTGATATCTCTTGAATCCAACAGTTTCAAAGGAATATTAGTTTCAATATAAAAAACATTAGCCAGCTATTGTCTTACTACAAGTAAAAGTTTGTCCAGTTTAATCAAGTATGCAAAATCCTGTATATCTTATTGCTGACAGTAAAAAGATTTTTCTTATTATGATTGTAATTTTTAAGAAAAAAATAACTGTTATAGCTTTTGACATAAAATTTATTGGGTATGTTTTTTATTTCAAAGTTTTCTGTAATAACATAAAAACTTTAAGATTTACCTGATTATTTCATTAAATATTAGAGGAGACTAGTTGTTATCAAAATTGAGTTAAAAAGAATTCACCATCAGTATTATTTAACTACAGCACAAGTTGTAGTAGGAAAAGTCTCATGCATACTGAAATTTAATAACCTAGGTTTGTCTTTTACAGGTAAATTAGGAGGTAGAGATGTAAAAATCTTTGTCTTTTGTTTTGTGTGAGTAAAGTTGAATCTGCTTGTAAATCTTTCAGTCTGTCTAATACTGACAAAAAGATAGCACAATGTGAAGCCAATTTAGATTTGGTGGAATTAAGGATGTTCTCCTAAAGTTCGAGATATAACAATTTGAGTGCATTTTCCTGCCTCTCCACAGTTTTCTCCCATATTCCATTATGATTTTTTCAAAAGGGATAATTTTTTTCCATACAGACAAATATTTGATAACCTTAAAGGGCATGACTCTTGACTTAGTAAAGGGAGTTCTTACTTGGGTTACTTTGATCAGTGACAGGCCGAGAATGACCAGAAACACTTTACTCATCGTCTCTGTTAATCTCCTGGAGTCCAGAACGTTATTTTGCCTATTTTAACCTCATGAAGTTTTTGTTAAAAGCAGAAAATAAGGCCTGCTTTTGGAAGTGTTGTGTGTTTTTTTTTAAAATCAGGTTTTAAAATGTGGTTTTTCTAAAATGTTTTGTATTTGAGAGACTAGCATATAAAATTTTTTGTAGGTACCTCAAGGGATGCAAGTCTAATATATTTTGAAATCTTTTCAGAAATGAAACAGGTAAATGGCTATAGCCACGTTTATGTTACTAGAGGCATTTTCCTTTAATTATTGGTGAGGTATATTTAACCTTTGCAAATAAAATGTAGATTCCTTAATAAGGTCTCTTTTCAGACATGAGTGAAATACTAAGTTAGAATTATAAATGACTGTGTGCATCATTATGTAGTAATTTAGGATTCACCCAATGATGTAACACAATTAACAACATAATTTCATTGTGAAACTGTGTCTTATTAAAGAACACTGTCTGACATTCTCTTACAGTTGCTTTATTTAACTTCATGCAAATATTATTAATAGTGACATTTTTTCTATTGTGCACTAGATTCTCTCATTAGCATGATGTGTTAGTTATCACCAGAGAAATAATTTCCTAGATAGGTGAGGGGCAAACCAGGAAAGCTAAAAATATATAAACAGAGAAGAAATATAGGGAAGTAATTTATGCATAATGATGTTATATAAAACTATAATATTATACTATTTACTAAACAGTAGTACAATAAAGGGAGAAATTTACAATTTAAAAAGTGTTGTGATTTAACTATATTTTGTTTCATTTTTTGGTTTTGATACAGTTAGCGACTCCCCCCTCTTCTTCTCTTCTGGTTCCTATATGTTTACCTCCTGTGCATTTTTGGAAAACATGTAAGAGAGGGTATGAATTTACATGTGTGGTGTTTTTTTCTCCTTCAGGATGGCATTTTAGTTTGTATAAATATTGTGTAAACTTAAATTCAACAGTGTGTAAATCTAAAAAATATATGTGCTGTGCATGTCTACCATGTTTATTTTCCTTAACTATAGTTCATCAGCAATGCTGATTTAGAGTGTGTGTGTGTGTGTATGTATGTGTGTGTGCGTCCAAGAAAGACACTTTTTAAAACTGATATCTCTTGAATCCAACAGTTTCAAAGGAATATTAGTTTCAATATAAAAAACATTAGCCAGCTATTGTCTTACTACAAGTAAAAGTTTGTCCAGTTTAATCAAGTATGCAAAATCCTGTATATCTTATTGCTGACAGTAAAAAGATTTTTCTTATTATGATTGTAATTTTTAAGAAAAAAATAACTGTTATAGCTTTTGACATAAAATTTATTGGGTATGTTTTTTATTTCAAAGTTTTCTGTAATAACATAAAAACTTTAAGATTTACCTGATTATTTCATTAAATATTAGAGGAGACTAGTTGTTATCAAAATTGAGTTAAAAAGAATTCACCATCAGTATTATTTAACTACAGCACAAGTTGTAGTAGGAAAAGTCTCATGCATACTGAAATTTAATAACCTAGGTTTGTCTTTTACAGGTAAATTAGGAGGTAGAGATGTAAAAATCTTTGTCTTTTGTTTTGTGTGAGTAAAGTTGAATCTGCTTGTAAATCTTTCAGTCTGTCTAATACTGACAAAAAGATAGCACAATGTGAAGCCAATTTAGATTTGGTGGAATTAAGGATGTTCTCCTAAAGTTCGAGATATAACAATTTGAGTGCATTTTCCTGCCTCTCCACAGTTTTCTCCCATATTCCATTATGATTTTTTCAAAAGGGATAATTTTTTTCCATACAGACAAATATTTGATAACCTTAAAGGGCATGACTCTTGACTTAGTAAAGGGAGTTCTTACTTGGGTTACTTTGATCAGTGACAGGCCGAGAATGACCAGAAACACTTTACTCATCGTCTCTGTTAATCTCCTGGAGTCCAGAACGTTATTTTGCCTATTTTAACCTCATGAAGTTTTTGTTAAAAGCAGAAAATAAGGCCTGCTTTTGGAAGTGTTGTGTGTTTTTTTTTAAAATCAGGTTTTAAAATGTGGTTTTTCTAAAATGTTTTGTATTTGAGAGACTAGCATATAAAATTTTTTGTAGGTACCTCAAGGGATGCAAGTCTAATATATTTTGAAATCTTTTCAGAAATGAAACAGGTAAATGGCTATAGCCACGTTTATGTTACTAGAGGCATTTTCCTTTAATTATTGGTGAGGTATATTTAACCTTTGCAAATAAAATGTAGATTCCTTAATAAGGTCTCTTTTCAGACATGAGTGAAATACTAAGTTAGAATTATAAATGACTGTGTGCATCATTATGTAGTAATTTAGGATTCACCCAATGATGTAACACAATTAACAACATAATTTCATTGTGAAACTGTGTCTTATTAAAGAACACTGTCTGACATTCTCTTACAGTTGCTTTATTTAACTTCATGCAAATATTATTAATAGTGACATTTTTTCTATTGTGCACTAGATTCTCTCATTAGCATGATGTGTTAGTTATCACCAGAGAAATAATTTCCTAGATAGGTGAGGGGCAAACCAAGAAAGCTAAAAATTAAATCAACGATTTACACTAATGCCAGAGCATCTGCTCACCAGAGATAGGAGAGAGTA